GGGAAAGGGGGAAAAAAAAAGGGGAAAAAGGGAAAAAAAGGAAAAAAAGGAAAAAGGGAGGAAAGAAATAAAGGGGGAGGGGAAAGGAGAAAAGGGGGGAAAAAAGGAGGAAAGGAATGGGATTCAAGATCCACAGAATCCCATCCCAAACCATTCCAGGATTCTGGGATCCAGGACACTCAGGATCCATCCCGAGGGATTTTTATGGAATTGGGGGATGGAAAAGGGAAGGGAGACCCTTCCTGGAGTCTTGAATTCCCAGTGAAGTCCCCAGATCCCAAAATTCCTTCCCGGAGAGGAATCGGGATAGGGATGGATCCAATGCCAGGCTGGGAGAGCTGGGAATGGAGGGGAAATGGAATTTGGGAAGGAATTCCCGACTGGGCTGGAATTCCCAGAAAATCCCTGGCAGTGTCCAAGGAAAAGTTGGAGCTCCTGGGACAGCGGGATTGGAATGGGATGTGGGATGGGATTTAAGCTCCACGGATCCCATCCCAAACCATTCCCGGCTCTCAGGGCGGTCGGATCCCTATGGATGATCCCTTAGGGAATCTCCCGTCCCCATTCCCAGTTTTCCCAGTGGGAATTCACTGGTTTTGGGGGGCGGGGGGAGCTGTGGGGGCTGTTCCCGGCTGTTCCCTGGGAAACGCAGCGACGATCCCATGAGTCACTGGAATTCCTGCATGGATCGGGGATCAGAGCCGGAGCCTCCCTGCCGGGCTGCGCCTCCCGGGAATGGTGACTCAGCCCGGGATCGGCTCCCTGCTCCCGGGATTTGGTTTTTCCTGGATGGAGCCCGGATCCCACTGGATGGCTCCAGTTTGGATGCGGGAATGAGGCTCTGGAGGCCGGGATGAGCTCCGGGGTGAGTCCCAGGTACCCCCGTTCCCAAAATTCCCGTAGGATTCCCGCATCCCATTCCCAAAGTTCCTGTAGGATTCCTGCATCCCATTCCCACGGGTGAGTCCTAGGTGTCCCCATTCCCAAAATTCCTGTGGGATTCCCGCATCCCATTCCAAAATTCCTGTACGATTCCCGCATCCCATTCCCAAATTAAGTGAGTCTCAGGTCTCCCCATTCCCCGAATTCCCGTAGGATTCCTGCATCCCATTCCCACGGGTTAGTCTCAGGTCCCCCCATTCCCAAAATTCCTGTAGGAATTTTGCCGGTTCTGGGTGCTGGCTCTGGAGTTGGGTTCTGGGTCCTGGTTCGGGGTCCCTGTCCTGGTGCTGGTTCTGGTGTTGGATGCTGGATCCCAGCTCTTAGTCCCGGTTCTGGTCCCGATACCAGTGTTGGGTGCTGAGTCCCGGTTCTGGTCCCAATCCTGGTGTTGGGTGCTGGGTCCCAGTTCTGGTGCTGGTTCCGGTGTTGCCGTTGGGTGTTGGACGCTGGATCCCAGTTCTGAGTCCCGGTTCTGGTCCCAATACCGATGTTGGGTGCTGGGTCCCAGTCCTGGTGCTGGTTCTGGGGTTGGTGTTGGGTTCTGGGTCTTGGTTCTGGTCTCAGTTCTGGTCCTGGTTCTAGGTCCCGGTTTTGGTCCTGATACCGGTTCTGGGTCCCAGTCCTGGTGCTGGTTCCGGTGTTGTCGTTGGGTGCCGAGTGTTGGGTGCTGGGTCCCTGTTCTAGGTCCTGGTTCTGGTCCCAATCCTGGTGTTGGGTGCTGGGTCCTGGTTCTGGTCCCAATACCAGTGTTGGGTGCTGGTGCCAGTTCTGGTGCCGGTGTTTGGGACCCGGTGTCAGTGCCGGTTCTGGGTCCTGGTCCCGGTGCTGGTCCCAGTGCCATTGTTGGGTCCCGGTTCTGGTTCCCAGTGTTGGGTGCTGGGTCCCGGTGCCGGTTCCAGTCCAGAACCTCTGTGGGGTGTGGGGTGCTGGTCCCAGTGCCGGTGCCGGGTCCTGGCGCCGGTTCTGATTCTGGGTGCCGGGTCCCGATCCCGGTTCTAGTCCTGGTGCCGCTGCCGGGCACTGAGTGCTTGTCCCGGTGCCGGTTCTGGGTCCCGGTGCCGGTGCCGCGTGTCCTGGGTGCCGGTTCTGGCTCCCGGGTCCCGGTGTCGGGTGCTGGATGCCTGTCCCGATGTCAGATCTGGGTCGCGGTGCCGGTTCTGGTGCCAGTGCCGATGCCAGTGGTGCTGTCGGGTGCCGGGGCCGGTTCTGGTACCAGTTGCGGTGCCAGTGTCAATGCCGGTTCTGGGTCCCGGGTGCCGGTTCTGGTGCGAGTCTCGGTGCCGGTTCTGGGTGTCGATGCCAGTTCTGGTGTCGGTGCCGATGCCAGTGGCGCTGTCGGGTTCTGGGTCCTGGGTGCCGGTTCTGGGTCCCGGTGCCGGTTCCGGGTCCTGGGGCCGGTCCCTCTGCGCACCCGTGTCAGTCACAGCAGGAAGCGCCGCCAGCGCGCGCTCGGCGCGGCGACAGCGGCGACAGCGGGGCCACCCCCAGGGGACAGCGGGGCCACCCCCAGGGGACAGCGGGGCCACCCCCAGGGGCCACCCCCAGGGGCCACCAGGGCCAGCGGGGCCACCCCCAGGGGCTACCAAGGCCACCCCCAGCGGACAGCGGGGCCACTCCGAGGGGACATCGGGGCCACCTGGGCCACCCCAGGGGACATTGGGGACATTGGGGACAGCCGCCAGCCCTCCGTAAGTGCCGCTCGCCTCCCGCGTCCCGGGAATTCCGCGTCCCGGGACGAGCCCCTCACCTGGCGCAGGGAGGGCGGATCCCGGGAAAACTCATCCCGGAGAATTCCCGAGGGGACCGCGCCCGGTGAGGAGGGGGGACAGGGACACAAATTGTCGCCCAGGTGCCACCCGCCACCCGGCACGGCGACACCGGGGCGGGGACAACCCGAACTTGTGCGGGAGCCACCGGGGCAACTTCCTGGTGCGGGAGGTGGCCCAGGGCGACTTTGCCGGTGTCACCGTGAGGAGGAGGAGGCGACAGGAGGGGACACGGCGGGGG